ATGGAGAAAACCAATCAAAAGTGTCAAGAATGCACTAGTGTTGAATAATGATCAACGGTCAATTTTTGGAGACCATGACTTGAGATCTGTTACTCGGAATTGAAAGTTCTTGATGTAGTTTTGAATCTCTAAGTGTGACCTACAACTGTCATTAAGAAAGATTCAGCAAATTCCGGCGTTTCAATGGTTAAATCTGCAGTTGAAATTCATATGTCAGAACTGAAGAAAAAGATTTGCAGAGCTTCAGCAACAGCAAGTCATTTTCCGGAGGCTCTAACTGCACATTCGTAGCTCTGATTGGTGATTTCTTTATATCATTGCGAAGATGAAAGAGGATGTTACAACTTTTATGAAGATCACTTGACCAAATTCAGAGCAGAAATCTGCCAAAAATGCAATTGAATTTCAGCCACCAGTGCTGTTTAAAACAATCTGCAGGTTTTCTGGAAGCATCACTCAACTTTCAGAGGTCGCAACTCTTTATCCACAACTCCAATTTCAGTGTTATAGATACCTTTGCGAAGCTGGATGAAAGATCTACAAACATTATTCAGAAATGACATCCAAATTCTGGACTGGGGGAAGGTGAAAAAGACTGATGAAAGTGGTTGCTCAATGCTGCAAATCCTTAATTTCAGCAAACACTTTGAAGGCAAGTGCTACAACTTCTTGAATTCGAATTGGAAACTCAAACAACAGGCTTAATGAATACATGAGAGTAATAGAAGACATCAGTAGGTGAATTTTGGTGTTGATTTCGCGGGTATTACCTCACAAATCAGACAGAACGTTGGAGATGAAGATCCCGGCGAGAACATTGAACTGCCACAACGTGAGCCCACCCCATTTTCGGCTTCCAAACAGAAAAAGAATCAATTGAGTTTGAGATCTATCAAGGAGGAAGATTTTGGAATAAAGTTGACTCATTTTCATGAAGAAAAGCCGCAAAACCGGGCGGATTCCGGCGAAGACTCCGGTGCCGGCGGCATCTTCCAACGAGGGAAAGAAGAAAGAAGTTTCAGAAATTGCGAACTTAATCCCTCTTGTCCTAAGAAATTGCAGCGAAGGTCGGAACTTTCAAAAGCAACAAAGCTGGTTCAATTGCAGTACAAGAGTTCAATATATTTCTATTTTAACCCCAGTTCCTAGGATTTCTTCTTTGCAGAAAGTTCAATTCGGGCTAAGTATTCTTGTCACTTATTCACTTTACTCCAAACGGGCCATTTGCCTATGAATAGCCCATTGTATACCAAATTAAAAAAATCTCTCCTCTTCAATGCCTGCTTTCTTTTTCAGTAGCTCTGGACTCCTTCTACCATCTGAAATGATTTGTACACATATTTTTTCAGCAGCTGAATTGCTTCTTATACTGGTTTCATCATGAATGCTCCTCCATATGAAGAATCAAGTGATTCTCTGGAGGCTTGTTGTCATCCATTTTAGAAAATACATAGCTGCATTGGTTTTTCAATACCATGTTGAGGACATCTCCTCATCAGATCCGTAAAATTTTTCCCTGCTTCATAAAGGGTTTCTGTACCATGCTGCTGAAAAGTCATGATGACTGACCTTAAAGCAACAGCCTTGACAGGTGGAAAAAATTTGGTGAGGAATGTTTGTCTGAGTCTTTTCTCAGAATCCATTGAATTGCTGAGCAGAGTGTCCAACCATTTTGCAGCTAGATCCTGCAGTGTGAATGGAAACAATCTCAAGTAGACCTCATCCTTGGACAACCCTTAAATCTTGAAGTTGCTGCACAACCTCATGAATTTCCTGATGTGCTCATTTGGATCTTCACTGGATAGTCCATAGAAAGGACAGGCAGCTTGCACCCATTTGATCATTTGAGTTTTGAGCTCAAAATTTTCTGCCTCAACATCATTGTACACAAGAGGAGTTTGAACTTCCTCCTCCTGTAGTACAAAGTAGTCTCTCAGCAGTTTGGGATGAGCTGGTTGTAGCTCTCCTACTCTAACTTTATTTTGATCAGCTCTTGTTACTTCTGCCATAGGCTCTGGATCTTCTTTAGGAATTTCACCTAGCAGCTGTTTTATTCTACAAGGCTCTTCAGTTGTTTTATTCCACAAGGCTCTTCAGTTGTTTTATTCCACAAGGCTCTTCCTTGTTGTGGCTTCAATTTCTAAATAGAAGAGAAGCTCTCCAGATGGGTTGCCTCTAGTCATAAACCAGAAATCAAGCGTGTAAGTAACAATAAAAGATTTTGAAGAAAATGTGAATAAAATAGAAAACTAAAGAAAGATGAAAGGAAACACAAAAATCAGAAATTAAGAATTTTCACCACCGTCTCCGGCAACGGCGCCACTTTTGGTAGACGGTCGTTGACACCTCCAAAAGAAAATTTAACCTACTCAAAACTAATAGCTAACTGTAAGTAGGGTCGATCCACAGGAACAGCAGTAAATGAATAAAATCTGATTAATGTGCAAATAAAAACAATAGAACACAACAGATTGTCACTTGAGAAAGTGAGAAAGTCACTTAGCAGTGTTAAAGTATTATGGCCATCCCCCTTCCTATCTATATGATCTTGTTGTGATCCTTTATAGTTCTTTTTTGACATATGAGCATTGTCTGATCAGACACTTGTATTCTTTACCTTCCCCGTCATTACCTTTAAAGAGTCCCAGCATAAACAAATTACCTCCATCTCTGTGATAATTATTCATTACCCCGAGCCCTTGATTTCTTAAGCCTTAGTGATCACCTATGCCAATCAGCTAACTCTCATTGATAATTGAAACTAAGGGTTTTTATCCCCTTTGTCATAGAGTAATTCAAACAGTTCTAAAGTTATGTTCACCCTCTCAAGATTCTGTAACTATGCATGCACAACTAACTAAGTGACCAGTTTAATCAAAAGGTTAATTAAAATACTTAAAACCAGATACAATGGCTCATATAAGAACTTGAATAAAAACATCCACATATAGATAGTAGGGATTAGACCCTAATAAGAGTTTAGCTACTCATGTTTATTGAGCTAAACATGAGAGCAATAGAGTACAAAAGATTAAGCATGATTAAACTCAAAAGGTTGGAGGACAGAATGGAGAAGAAAGGTAGCAAAGCAGGTTCTGTCTGCTCATTTGGGGAAGTGTACTTCGTCACTTGCCCGAGTGACTGTCTGCACTCTTCCTAGTGCTACTTCTCTGTTTTCTATCCTAACTAACTCTAACTCATTACTTTTTGGAACTGCTATAACTTCCCAATCTGTTGTTTACATTCGCTATTGGTTGTCCTATTTATAGAGAATTGGAGAGGTTTGGATTGGTTGCTTCTTCTGGCATTTTTCTTTGCAGTAGAGTAGAGGTGACAACTTGCAGCAGGTGAAGGTTTGTTTATTCATCAACTTGTCCAATTTGTCAAGTTGCTTTCATCTCTTTTGGCGGCCTTTTCCTTCTTCAGCCGTAATCAATCACCTTTTTCTCATCGTTGCCTTTCATTTTAGTCTTCTTCTCCGGCGCCTCTTCACCAATTTCGGCCACAAATCTCCATTTCTTCTTTCGTTAATCCTCAGCAGCAGCATCAGCAGCTTGCTTTTCTTCCACCATCATGTTTCTTCCTTCTCAGCCTCCAATTTGACTTCCAATCTTCTGCCCTTCTCTTCCTTGTTTCCTGGAATCACCTGCAGCACCATTTCTTGCCTCCAGCAGCAGTCATTCCTTCTTTTCAATAAAAGGCAGCAGCAGTAGACAAATAGCAGAGCAGCTGCCAATTTCTTCTTCATATTCTTCCTCTTTCTCTTCTTAAGAGTAAAGGTGGTTTTAGTACTGAACCAACACCTCATACACGACTAAATATTCAGTATCTATTATTTTTAAATATATATGTATATATATACAGTAAATACATCAAAGTTATATGAGTGGATACATCAAAATTACTGAAAAGATATATCAAAGTTACTTTAAAATTTTATTTCTAGTATACTTTGAACTAAAAATAAAAATTTAAATCCAATAACCATTTCGGAACAGAAAGAGTACGCTTTAAGCATGTAGTTTTTATGGTCTTGCAACGTTAGAACCAAACTTTGCGAATAACTTAAAATACATCCTAAATACATGTGGTCTAGTAAAACAATATACTAGCCCTTTTTCAAAAAATAGTTAACATTGAGTTCTTTAAATTTCTAATAAAATAATACAAATCACATAACTTAATGTGGTTTGGGACGGAGAGAGTAATATTAATTGAGCTTGTTTGGACTTCCACTCATTTTGCATTTTCAACTCATTTTGCCTCTTAAACACAAAACCCAATGCAAACCAAACTGACGTCCAAACAACTTTCTGATTTACATTTTAAAATCAAACTTGAAACATTATGTTAGTGCAGTAACTATTTTTGAACTAAAAATAGTCCAGTGACTAAATCCAAAACTTTGCACATTTATTTCAGTTTGTCCCTAGTCCAAAAACCGAGGCCCAATCGGATGGTAGGAAAAAGTTTTTTGGAATATATATTGCAATATCAAATACGAAAAATATCACTAAACAATCGAAAAATGTCAATTTTTGTCACTGTAAAAAAAATTCAAAAATGATCACTAAACAACGGAAAAGTGTCGATTTTGGTCACTGTAAATATTAATTTTGGAAGTTATTCTGTGATTTTAGTGATCATTTCATAGTAACCAAAATCGACACTTTTCCGTTGTATAGTGATCATTACAGTGATTAAAATTGACATTTTTTTATTATTTAGTGATATTTTTCGTACTTAATATTTCAATACATATTCCAAAAAAAATTTTCCCAACCACCATCCAAACAATTTTTTGCTAAAATACCATCCAAATAACTTTTTCATTTCTCATCACGTTTTTTATTTAAAATACTTTCTACTTTTTAAGTCAAAAATAAATCTAAGTGGACGTCCAAACAAGCATGTTATAATTTCTTATCCGATACCAAAAATTCCACCCCAAAATGAGTTTTGGGTCCAACTGTTTAACAAGACCCAAGTATGGGCCTTATGAGATTTAAAAATATTCTTTTGGTTTTAACAATACCCAAGTATATTCCTCTCGACTTCTATCAGTTTCTTTTCAGTTTAACTCCGATCGCCCGGTGGAATCCGTCGTCACCATCGACTTTGCACCACTGGTGAGTTTCTACTTAATTTTCCATCTGATATTCCGATTTTCTCCAGTTCCACCCTCCTCACCGTTCTAATCATATGATATTAATTAGCGATTCGCTGAGAGTAATGAGCAAAAACTCGGGTTAATCGCGAATGAAGAGCTCTTAATTTCATTTAATGTTGGAATTAATGATGTAGTGGTGGACCGAGTAGGACTTTGAGCTTCTAAGTGAAGAATTATTAAACACAATTTGGGATTTTGTTGCTGCAAATGTCTTAGTTATGTTAGAGGCTCTGACTGTTACAAAAAAAAGCCGTTCAGGTGTAGAACTTTGGAATTTTAATAAAGGAACCAATTAAAGAAATGCTTATTTTACATTGACAACTCGAGTGAAAATGATTAGTGGGAATAATTAGTTCAAACTCTAGGTCATTCATTTGACTTTGGGATTATATTTGAAGAAATTAATCACGTTGCTGTGGCTATATAAAAGGTAGTTAATTCTGGTAATAACAATCCAGAAATTCGTTTTTAGTTTATGTATGATGTGTTGTAGATTGTAGAATGAACATTCTGCCATGTGAAAAATTAGAAAGTAAGAGGCTTGTAAAAAGGATATTTGATTTATTGTCATCCATTAGCATGATATCCCACTGCTTTGTTTTGTCTCCATTTGTTGTTTCCAACATAGTTGTTGTTTATTTCAAGCATCTTTTTTTTCGGTTTGAAATTACTGTAATTATAAGTTATTAGCACTTCCACTTACAGCATTTGTTCACTTTTCGGCAACTGGTGGCTGCTTGAATTCTGGAACTGAGAGAATGTAATCTTTTCAATTTTGTTCTATTGAATCTTAAACCCCTTAAAAAAAAAAAAAGATTCATTAGGGAGTTTTTGCATGCTCCAGGAGATGATTCATGTAATTTTTAATTTCTCCTTTGCAGAGTAAAGTTCATTCAGATTCACATTTAGTCATCGGATAATGGAAAGAGAATATAAAATGCTTGACCATGTTGTTTGAGGTTTTTGAGAATTCTTGCTTCATTTAGTTACATGATTGTAGTCTGATCTCCTGATCTTGGGTTGGCTTATATGGGGTACTTTTTTTAGCCTCATAGACTGTTGAAATTCTTGTTTTGCTTCGGTCCTTGGTATCCTTTTTCATTTGTCATTTAAATGCCTGGTAACCTATTCTTCTACGTTCGCTTTAAAACTAATTTTTTAATCATCCTCTTCTTTCTTTCTTTTCTTTTTCTCTATATATAGGCTGTGGCATGTGGCTTATAATGAATCATGTGGGACCCTTTTGACGATAATGAACGATAAAAATAAGCATATTGTGATTTGTGAGTTTTGGGAAGCATGATTTTCAACTTTTAAGTTGGTTGTAGCTTTTCCTTCTTGTGAATGTTCTAGAGATGAATGGAATGAGAGGAGTCTTGCTCTGTATGTTAATATGGGCAGAATGGTTGGTGGTTGGTGAATTAGGTTAAGATAAAGCTTAAGGGCAGCTGGGTTCATGCAGCGGCGACATGTTGGTCCTCCAGGAAAGGCTCTGGCCATTAAGGCCTAATGATGCAGCCTTACCTTATATTTCTTTAAGAGTCTGTTGTTGTGACTGGAAACTCCGACCTTGTTTTTTGTGGCAACCACTCTTGTTACTGCACCAAGTCCGCATTCATCATTTATTACTAAATTTGCTTAATATATGTATTTCTTTGATATTTTTCCCCCTTTTTTGTAACTTTTTGGAAATTATGATCATTGGTTTTACATGTGGAAACAACTTGGGTGGTAAAATGAAGTTTATGACTACTCCTTATCTTACATCATTATACAGAAATCAATTCATTGAGTGTATGAAAAATTTTAATCTCAAATATTTGTGGAAACATAACAACCTGAAGAAAATGTTGGATATTGAATCTTTTTTCTGCACTTTAAGTTTATATGTTGAGGATTTTGAATGCTGTTGTCATTATTTTTCTTTCTACCATGAAGCTATCCAGGTGCCAGGATTATGTTTAAGTTTCGACTTTGCGACCTTGGAGGTTATGCAGTGATGAATATTCTAAAAGGTATTCTATCTCACATATTTCCTTTTTCAGTTGTTCTCATTATCAAAACCTTTGGTAAAACGAAGAACACGTCCTTTTAGGTGTTGGAGATTGCCAATCATGGAGTACCCATTCTTGCACATTTTTTTTGTGGGGGTGTTTTTTGTTTTCCTTGTTTATGGCTGAGGAAGCTACTGTGGGGTTTAATGATGTTGTTTTTCAATTTAATGTCTGTAAACCGAGTGGATAATTTTGTTTCTTGAGCAATAGTCGCTGATTTTTGTGCTTTGGGAAAGAGTTCAAGACAGTCTTTTCATAACTTGCAAAGCATACCTGTTATCTCTCTGTAATTCAGAATATGACCTGCAGTTTTTATTTTCCTATTTTTTCATTAATATGGTTTCTTTGCAGTTCCACTTAACTCTTCATCACCAAGACCACGTTTACCTCTGTGTAAAGGTTTGACATGCATGGTAAGTCTCTTATTTCCTTGATGGAAAACTTGTTAATGACAAATTTGGCCTTCCCTAGGGGCTTACTTCTTTGATATGGCTTAAATTGTCAAGCTCTTGCTTTACAGTCTGTTTTTGTTGTTGAAGAACTTGAATATTATATCATACTTTGACTTCCCATCGCTAAAATGAATTGAATGCAGAGTTCATTTTCCCCTTTGTTTTCTCCTTTTGCTACTGATTGCTTCGGGGTGTGTAATTCATTTGCATGCAGATTCTGAGGAGGTTTTGTAGTACAAAGGCTGATAATGCTTTCAAGAAAGAAAATGAAGAAAAGCAAAAGTAAGATTGCAAATCCGATTCTTGGATTCTATAATCATTCTTTGTGAGACCAAATTTCCTTCAGTTCGAAATAGAAGTTCAGTTTCTACGTCGTTCATAAACTTGGGAGTAAAGATGAAAATCTAAAATCCACTGACACACTAGCTAATTGTAATGTTTACAAGGAATGGTATAGTAACCTCTTCTTCAATCCGTGACTGATGCTACTGAATGGGTGATATGAATGGCCTCTTTTGCTCTTTGGTTTTCAGTCCTGCTTCATGCTCTGATCAGCCGCTGTCGGCTGACTGATATCTTCGGTCCCCATACTTTTTGCTCATAGTTAGTCCTTTGCAATTTGCAGAATATCTGTAACTTTTGTAGATAAGGACGGAGAGGAGAAGCATCTTAAGGTTCCAGTAGGAATGTCAATGCTGGAGGCTGCCCATGAAAATGATGTGGATCTGGAAGGCAAGCTCAATTATTTAACATTTAACCTTTGTGTTATTGATTTGTTGTTTTTGATTAATTTCAATATTCATCCAAGACAAACCCTTGTGTGCTTCCTTTATTATTTTGGTTACAATTTATTTATGTTTGGTGATACAGGAGCATGTGAAGGATCTCTTGCCTGTTCAACTTGCCATGTAATTGTTATGGTATGGGCTGGATGCAGGAATGGTTAAGTACAAATTCTTTTTTTGTGGCCAGTTTTGAGTTATCTTTCTTGTTGATATTTTCCTTTAAAAAAAAGAAAAAAGAAAAAATTGGTTGTTGATCTTGTCTGCGTCGATTGGTTGTTTTTGTTGTTATTTGATAGGATACAAATTATTACAATAAACTAGATGATCCAACTGACGAGGAGAATGACATGTTAGATCTTGCTTTTGGCCTCACTGAGACGTAAGTTCACGAACTCTCAAAATCAATCCACAACTTGTGGTCTCACAGTTGATTTTGAAATCTTAACAAAGCTATTTTGCAGATCGCGACTTGGCTGCCAAATTATAGCGAGCCCAGAGATTGATGGGATCCGATTGGCAATTCCAGCTGCCACGAGAAATTTCGCAGTTGACGGGTACAAGCCCAAACCACACTAAAGTTAACTTCAACACCGTGTTAGTATCATATTTGCTCATCTAGAATCAGTTTTCTTTGTAACTCATCACAAACCACATGGGAAGTTTGCTGGAAAGTCGTTTTGTAGAACTAGATTATACCCATGAGTTTCAATCTGCCTGGTAATTGGAATGGACTAAAAAGAGCAGAGATAGGCAGGCATAGGAGTAGTTTCGCTTAGTGCTGAGGGCATATTATTGGAAAGACTATCATGAGATGAAGGGACCAAAATGTTATCTGAGGCATCTTTCTATCCCCTTTTTATTTTTTCATTACTCTTTCGCTCTATTGGCGTATTAGTTACCAATTACAGAATTACTTCCCTTGACAAAACACAAATGATGCTAATAAATTTCTCAGATTGTTGGTTCTGCAATTCCAGCAGGGGTGACAAAGAGACCAGATCCTATGGAGCATTTCCCTTGCTCTGAGTTTGAGTTTGGTGAAATATTGGCAAAACGAAATGTCATTGGCAAAATGATTTTTAAGAAATATGTCACGCCATCATCATTGCATGAAAACCTGCTTCTAGATTAACTTGCTTTCTTCCCCCAAGAACACTTCAGCTGTTCTAGATTAACTTGCTATCAACTAAAATTCTGTCACGTTCTTCTAGACCTAAATAACATTTGTTTCAAAAACCAATTATTCTAGCTATTATGTTATTTTTATATCACAAATAGCACAATCACTTAAGAACGGGGAGGATATATCTTACTTCTTTCGTTCCAAAATTATTATCCAGTTTCAATTTTTTCTTTTAGTTCAATTTATACTAAAAAGAAAATTTAAATTAGACAATAATTTTGGGACGGAGGAAATATCTACTAAAAGATAAAGTTGAGAAAACGCAACATTGGAAAGTCACACATTCACAAAATCCCTTCGAATTCCACAAATCTAGGAGGAAAAAAAAAAAAATTTGGTCGGCTAATGTGAAAAATGGACTTCATATGTAGGCGTTGAAAAACAAGAAATTAAATTCAAATTCCAGAATCCAAAATCATGAACAAGAAGAAATCCATCACAAATCCCCACCAGCAAGACTATCAATAATCCCTAAAACAACCTCACAAATATGCTTCAAAGCATCCTCTCTAGCTGCAAGCTCAGGTGGATAAGCCAACGACCCTTTAGAGCTTCGCCTGAAATTGTTCCTACAAACATTCGGATAGTCTTCCGCTGCCATAACATGCATATAAGCATAATCATACAAATCAGCATTCAAATCTTGGAGGGAAGCTTGAAGAGCATCAATGGCGTATGAATATCGCTTCGCGCAGTCGTTGATTAGCTTCTTCATCTGAGTATCATTCCCATTGACGGTCGTCAGGAACTGAGTAGAAAGGTAGGCATTGGTGGAAGTAGCATTCGCAACTCCAACTTTGACCATGATGATGGCCAACCCTTTTGTGTCTGCATTTAGGCTTGAATTCAGATTTGATTTGAGGGAATTTATGCAAAGGTCATAGTAATTTGAGGCTTTGCAAGTTCTCTCTATTAAGCTTGTGTCTCCATTGACATGGAATGTTGCAAGTGATTGAAATGAAATGAAGAAAGCAAGGAGAAGAATAGTGAGAATAGAGTAGGCCATTTGGGAGATGCGAGCTAATCACCAAATGGAAATTGAAGTAGGTTGCTTTATAGGTATATAGTGTGAAGAAAAATAATGACTCACTTTTTGACAAAGTTCTTATTGGTCTTTTGTCTCTTCTACTGAATAATTTGTGGTTAGACTTTGTAGGAGTGGTCATTGATTTCATATTTTCATATGGTCAAGTATCCGAGCTAAAGGACCTAAACTACGTACGCGTTTCATACCAGGGTTCTTTGAATCTCTCAAGGGGAACAATGTTCAAAACTTTAGTGCACTCCATTTATCTCAAGAGATAATCTCGGTGAACTAAAATATATGTATTTCAGACGTGACGAATTATGAAATATTGAGAAATCTTACACTCTTTACATATTTTCCAAACAAAAAAAAAACATTCAATTAAAAATTGAAACTCGAGATATACTATTCAATAGATATCCCCCTTCCTAGTTACTTGGCCATGTGCTGATTTTCAGAGTACAACCAAATTATTATCAATAATAAGATCTACGTTATATAAACCTATTAGTTACGACTGAAAATCTATAGATTATGTAAATAAATGAGAAAAAAATTGATTTATTTAAGAACTGTGGGGGGGAAAGCTAATTATTTTACTGAATTTATTAATGATGGTTTGGTCTGGTTGGATCCAAGTTTTGGGTTTGACTTTAGAGCCATATCCATTGAAGCATCGGGATTTTAGCATAATTTCATTCAGAAAAAGAACAAATGAACAGTAGCATCCAAATATGAAGGCAAGTTGGAAGATGGCCAGAACTATAACCAACAAAAAACGAGGTCACGGATCTCTGATTAAATTCATGGATAAAAAAGAAAACAACCAAGTATATTTGGGACCCGGAATTGTTGGATCTTTTCTGGCATATCGACACACCAATTTATCAAATTAATTTTCTCCTCATATGGACTTCCTGGCATACAATGAACAAGATATTCAATGCGTTCAGATTAAGTACTAGAAGTGAACTCTAGGTTAGGCAATTCGAGTTATCGTATTATAATCTTATCTACAATTTCTATGTAGTTATACAACTCATTAGCGGCGACCAGTTCCGGCGGATTGACTCGGTTAAATATCCCTTTAGAAAAGTTGAAACCGTGGGTTCATCATGATATAATTGGTCTGTCATACCATTGAATTGTAATAGTCTAGTTTATTAGGCAATATGCCTCCTTTCCTTGTAAACAAAAAACCCAATATTAAAAGATATGAAACTCATTTCATTCGGACCACATTTTTTTTTTTTTTTGGATTATCATGTATTCGTCCTAGACTACTAATCTCATTGAACCTCTTATTTCCTGAAATTTACCAATTTACTCATCTCCTGAACCTTAAAAGGATGATTCCCATTCGAAATATGCAAATAGTACGATTTGGAGGTAAAGAAACCATATACAGGAATTGTATTTAAATAATATTGGATTTTTTTTGGGGCGTATTTCTTGAATTGGGAGAAGGCAATCTCATCTGAGTTTCTGGTGATTAGAGCTTTTTGTGGATTTTCTGCAGACATAAAATGAATCTGCACTCTAACAGACTAAGAGTCCATAAGTTCTTTGGAGTTATTTCAGGATACTTCACATTCACAATCCGTCGACTGCGGACATGTGACTTCTTATATTATCTGTTTTAATTTCTTTTTTTTTTTAACATTTAAATTCCATGCCTCTAGTCGAACAAATATTTTTTAAAAAATGAAACTTGTCGTATTTAACGTCGAGCTATGTATGTGGACGAAAAAGTAAACTACTGTCACTGCCCTTTCAAAGTAAAATTTCACTCATAGTCTTCGTCAGTTCGTCGTTGTGCTCAGTGGAGGTAATATATATATATATATATATATATATATATATATGTATATATTATATTTGGTTGTGAAGGCGCAAAATATTTAATTTGCATTCGTTGGGTGATACGAATGTCCAGGAATTTAAAACAAACGGAAGAGCCAAGAAGCTATATCTACAATATTTACTAACCTGATTTGGAGGAAGAACCATAAATTTGGTTGCACAACCACGGACTTAATTAGGAGGAGAACCGTGAATTTTAGTGAGAAAGAGAGACTTTGATGTCGTTGTGGATGAGGGAAGAGAACGGCCGCCGATCTTGGGAAAACTGACGAGGGTTTTGTTTTTTGATTAAATAAAATTATAAATAGTGATAATTTGACAACTAGATTACTATGTAATTAAAGTTATTATTAGTAGAGTCGAAGATCATATTCTTATAAATTGGACTATTTAGGTGGTGTTTGGACAACGTTTTGTTTTAGTTATTGATTTGAATTTGGGAGGAAATTTAAAAGGAAAAATTACCGTTCATACCCAAAACTTTGGGCTCATCGTCAATTCTACTCTATTGATTTTCGGTTAGTCCATTTTATCCTTATTGTTTGAAACTTTTGTCAATTCTACCCAATTGGCCAAATTTCCGATAAACTTAACGGATTAACGTTAGTTTTAAACTAAAAATATCCCGATAGTTTCATAAAATTATAAAAATAACCCTAAAAAAATAAAAATAATAAAATAGTCCTTGCTCTCCTGTCTCGTTTCCTTCGAATCAATCGATTCAATCCGCCGAACTCTCTCTCTCTCTCTCTCTCTCTCTCTCTCTCTCTCTCTCTCTCTCTCTCTCTCTCTCTCTCTCTCTCTCTCTCTCTCTCTCTCTCTCTCTCTCTCTCTCTCTCTCTCTCTCTCTCTCTCTCTCTCTCTCTCTCTCTCTCTCTCTCTCTCTCTCTCTCTCTCTCTCTCTCTCTCTCTCTCTCTCTCTCTCTCTCTCTCTCTCTCTCTCTCTCTCTCTCTCTCTCTCTCTCTCTCTCTCTCTCTCTCTCTCTCTCTCTGGTGTGAAGTGTAAACAAAAAAAAACAATGATAATGAGAAGCATCGCTCGAAGAAAGGCGACATGTACTTTCCTTTCAACATACAAGTCCTCTTCTTCATACAACAAGTACTCTTTCTATCTAACCAGCAGAGGCTTCGCCGCTAGTGCCGCCGACAAGAACAACATCATTGTCATCGGAAGTGGCCCTGGTTGTTTCAAATTCGTTCAATTTAGATAAGCTTTTTCCTATGTTGCTCGATTCTATGTTATGCCCAATCTAAATAATTTTTGTGCTTGATATCGTTTTCGAAACGAGATTGTGGTTGTGGTTTTATTGGTTAGATTCTCGTTGTAGCTAGGACAAGACTTTCAAGCGTTATGATTATGAATAGTTTAATTAGGCTGTGTAAAGGTTTGATTTTGTGGGGTTTGATTTGTTTGATGATTCTGTATTGGCTTGATATTGATATATATGGATCAGTTTGGTCTTACACATGAATGGATTGTTTCACAATATATTGATGTTGCTCTGAATGGTGTGCATACGGTTTACTCGTTGCTAATGATAATGATAAAAGCTGTTTTGGGTACTTAATTCACTTTTATTTGTCAATTGTTGAGGAAAATTGGCGTATGTGAATGGATGTTTGTTTATTTTGACCACGGACTTCCCTTACGATTCGCTCCAACTGTGCAAGATTGTCAAGCTTTGGTGGCGTATGTGAATGGATGTTTGAATTTTTCTTTTTGGTTTTTTTTTTCTTCAATTAGTGCAGTTCTAAATTTTGTCCTCTTGGTGACCATCACTGGCGCCACAGTTTTGCAACCTTATTGAAAGCAGCCATGGGAGGCCAAAAGCTCAATTATATGATGCTAATCTATCGTCAATTAAAGACTTTCCGACGTTCATAACTCAGGTTTGACATTTACTTCAATTTTGTCGAATATAATGAATTACTTGAAGCACTTGACAAATAACGTTCTCGAATCTGGTCCCTCTTCCGGCGCCCGTCATTTTACAGCTTAACCGCTGCTTATTCTGGTGACAGTGGAGTAGAGGTGGTGGAACAAGGAAATTATCACCGTCAAAATTCATAATTATTACCGTTCAAATTTAGATTCGCACTTTTTGAGCGGTACCGTGGCCTTAGAGTGATCTACACCCTATGCCTAGCCGGCTACACAATTTTTGCTCTTTGAATGTGGCACATGCGGCCTACTTCTTTCCTTGATTGTTCCTTCAATCTCGGTCATGCTACTCGTGAATATATACTCTGATAAGGCCCCTTTAGGAAGTTAATTTCTGAAGAATCCTAACAATCATTGAAAGTGGTTCGCCATTTCTGAATTGTTGAATTTATATGTCCCCCTTTTGTGTCTTTTGGTATTCAGCTATTAATTTCTTACTTTTTATATGTGATTTTGTTCACGAATGCAAAGACATGTACTGAAGATTATCAAAATAAGCCATCTTGGAGGGATATTTCAGTGGACCGGCTGGTGACTTCAGGATCTCAGAAGAAAGCAAACAAGGTTTTGACATCCTTTTGAGGGGTTAGGGTTGACACAACGATATTAGTTTTTCCTTTTTGTGGATTATTATGTGAATTATTCTGTCACATGATAATTACTTGGTTTTGCAACACTTTAGAGAGACCTTGGATGATTTAGTTTCCCCTTTATTTTGCAAGTCATGATTTGCCTGAGTCTGATCCATCTAAACTTACTTCATGTTGATCACTTTGCGAGAATTACTTGTGATTTGGAAGTAGTATTATGGGATTTGTTTGTTCCTTTCCATTTTGTTAATTTGACATTCATACAAATTCTAAAGAAAGTGAACTGGGAGAAATCTATTCATTAAAACTCAGAAAAGTGGCAATGGCAGAAAAAAAAACTGTGTGTGAGTTATTTGAAGAAAGACCTATATGGATAAAGGATTCATTATCAGAATGCTTACTTGATAAAGGTAAAGAATTTTGAGGAAATATGTTAAGGAGGTATCCCATATCTTCTCAATGTGTTGCAATGTGATCTTTTCATTCAAAATCATTGGAAACAACACGATCTCACTTTCATATAGTTTCTCTAACTCTTGTTGTTGGTCCATTCTGGCTTACAGGCTTCTCTTCCGGGCAGCATATTTTTTTTCAAATGGGCCACTTCCTAGATTCCGGATTAGAAAATGATATGATCCTCGTAACTCGAATGTGAGTGTTTTGTTTACTTTTTTTTTTCAGACTTAACATTGTCGTCATTTCATCACTAGACATGT